TTTCTTTCTTTCTTTCTTTCTTTCTTTCTTTCTTCCTTCCTTCCTTCCTTCCTTCCTTCCTTCCTTCCTTTCTTTCTTTCCTCTCTCTCTCCCGCTCTCTCCCCCTCCCTCCCTCCCTCCCTTTCTTTTTAAATTGAGGTACAGTTGATTTACAATATTGTGTTAGTTTCAGGTGAACAGCAAAGTGATTCAGTTTTTTACATATATTTTTTTTAGAGTATTTTCCATTACAAGGTTATACAAGATATTGACTATAGTTCCCTGTGTTATACAGTAAATCTTTGTTGCCTATTTTATGTATAGTAGTTTGGATCTGTTAATCCCATACCCCTAATTTATCTACCCCTCCCCCTTTCCACTTTGGTAATAACCGTAAGTATGAGTCTGTTTCTGTTTTGTATATAAATTGATTTGTATTATTTTTTAGATTCCATGGATGCGTTATGTCAGATATTGGTCTTTCTCTGTCCAACTTACTTCACTTAGTATGATAATCTGTAGGTCCATCCATGTTGCTGCAAATGGCAATATTTCATTCTTTTTCGTGGCTGAATAATACTCCATTGTATAAATACACCCCATCTTCTTAAGCCAGTCATCTGTTAATGAGCACTTGGGTTGTTCCCATGTCTTGGCTATTGTAAATAGTGCTGCTGTGAACATTGGGGTGCATATATCTTTTCCAGATATATGCCCAGGAGTGGGATTGCTGGATCTTTTTAGTTTTAGTTTTTTTTTTTTTTTTTCTTTTTTTGCGGTACGTGGCGGTAGGCGGGCCTCTCACTGTTGTGGCCTCTCCCGTTGCGGAGCACAGGCTCCGGACCCACAGGCTCAGTGGCCATGGCTCACAGGCCCAGCCGCTCCGCGGCATGTGGGATCTTCCCGGACCGGGGCACGAACCCACGTCCCCTACATCGGCAGGTGGACTCTCAACCACTGCGCCACGAGGGAAGCCCCTATTTTTAGTTTTTTAAGGAACCTCCATACTGTTTTCCACAGTGGCTGCACCAGTTTACATTCCCACCAACAGTGTAGGAGGGTCCCCTTTTCTCAACACCCTCTCCAGCATTTGTTATCTGTAGGCTTTTTAATGATATGTGCTGCCTTTCAACTTGCTAGAAAAAGAACCGAAAATGTTGACATTGTACATATCACAGGTCCCCCAGCATTCATTCAGCAAATGTTTGTCTAACCTTTATTGGATATTGAGCAATGAAAAGAATGAAAAAATTGTATTTTTGCTAGTGGGTATCAGATGGTAATTCTTTTACAAGTTGTAAGGCTCCCCATATATTAACTTATTTCATCGCACCTTCAAGGCGCCTGGTAGATATACCAGGTGACTTTACTTAAGTAACTATGACAGCGTTCTTCCTTTGCTTTAGATTTGAGTCCGCAGGGTGGTCTTCAAGAAAACCTAAAAGATGTGTGACTTGAAAAGCCACCATATAAGAGCACCTTGCGGTTTACAGTGTGGCAAATGTTACATTTACCCTTAGCTGCAGCAGCTGGAATCCACTGTGTTAGTCTGTTTTCCTGGCCCTACCACCAGCTAATTTTTTTTTTCAGATTTATATAAATTTATTTATTTTTATTTTTGGCTGTGTTGGGTCTTCATTTCTGTGTGAGGGCTTTCTCTAGTTGTGGCGAGTGGGGGCCACTCTTCATTGCAGTGCGTGGGCCTCTCACTGTCGTGGCCTCTCTTGTTGCGGAGCACAGGCTCCAGACATGCAGGCTCAGCAGTTGTGGCTCACGGGCCCAGTTGCTCCGTGGCATGTGGGATCTTCCCAGACCAGGGCTCGAACCCGTGTCCCCTGCATTGGCAGGCAGATTCTCAACCACTGCACCACCAGGGAAGCCCCCACCAGCTAATTTTTGTGTTAAAACAAAAGAACAGATGAAAATAGAAAAAGCATCTAAAGAATGCTTTTGTTTCCCTTGTAATTTTTAAGGTAAATCTGGTAAGAGACAATGGGTTTAATGTCGGTTTAGTGGACCCTGTTACTGATGTAGCAGATTCTGGTTCTGCCCCGAGAGCGAGAGCTGTGGGCAGGACAGGCTCTCAAGGGCCTCCTGCATCGCATCCAGACTGTGCATTATTTGCTTAAAGATCATTTGACTGACTGGTGATCACATGACTGAATGTGTGCACACGTCACACATTGCTTACTCAGCTAAGGTGAATAACAGCGTCTGGAAACCTGTATGCTCGCAGAGTTGAGATTATATAGCAGAAGTTTGAGGTTCGTTTATTGTTTGTTCACTAAATACTTATTAAAAGAAGGAACCCTTAAAGCAGACCTCCAGGGTTGACCCTCACTCAGTTCACTGTACATTGTTTTTCTCTCTTCCTCTCACGTGTTCTTGACTTGAGCACATCTCATTACCTGGTCTTTGTCCTCTGACCTGTGGTCCAGCCCCGGGCTCTAGGTGCCGCTGGCAGCATCTAGGCACCTCTCAGAAGAGTTATCTCTGGCCAGGTGTGCACAGCCACCCGCTCTGCAGCCTTACTTTTTTGTTTGTTTGTTTGTTTTGCTGTACGCAGTCCTCTCACTGTTGTGGCCTCAAGCACAGGCTCCGGACACGTAGGCTCAGCGGCCATGGCTCACGGGCCCAGCCGCTCCGCGGCATGTGGGATCTTCCTGGACCGGGGCACGAACCTGCGTCCCCTGCATTGGCAGGCGGACTCCCAACCACTGCGCCACCAGGGAAGCCCTTTTTTTCTTTTTTTTTTTTTGAACCTTTGAGCATTTTTCTCTTATTTGGCATAATCTACCCTATTGTGAAGTAAAACAAGGGACACACTTCGGAATATTTATGCCCCCATTTTAAAAATCACCAGTTACGGGACTTCCGTGGTGGCGCAGTGGTTAAGACTCCACACTCCCCATGCAGGGGGTCCAGGTTCAATCCCTGGTCAGGGAACTAGATCCCACATGCATGCCGCAACTAAGAGTTTGCATGCCACAACTAAGGAGCACACCGGCAGCAACTAAGGAGCCCATGTGCCTAAGACCTGGCACAACAAAATGAATGAATGAATGAATATTTAAAAAATAAATAAAAATCACCAGTGTCGACTTTTGGGACAAACAAGGGCCTTTATCATTCACTGACTCTCAGTTAAATTGGAATTTTACTCTCTTCTGAGTGGAGTAACCAGTCAGTTTGTGAGTATTTTAGATGTAAAAAAGAAAATAGAGAATTAGTACCTTAACTGACTCTTGTCAGTGGAAAAAAATTTCCCCTTATATTAGAATATATGCTAATGAGTTTGAATTCTTTTTCAAAATTGATTTCTTTTTCCTAGTTAGTTGTCAGTTATACCAAAATTAGGAAGGATGGTTGTGATAGAATTGAATAGCATTCTGAAACTTAGAAGCACTGACTTTTATTAGGTGTCTGCTGTAACACTCAGCCTTATTTTCTCAACTCTGAGTCTGGTCATTGCACCTGGAGAGTGAGTTTTGAGGGAAGGGCAATAGGGGCTAGTAGGATTTAGTGTTTGTTTCATACAATTCTGTGCTATTTGATTTTCCCTTTTCAAGCTTGTATTATTTTTGTAGTTTATAAAGAAAAGTCATTCGTGAGTAAAGAAGTGCTATTGATTAGTAGTCTCTTATTTTTCTGGAAGAAAGACTAGAAAGTGTAGAGAGGAAGTAGATTTGTCACTGGGGGTGGCAGCTTCTGGAGTTTGAGTCTGTTAGTTTTCCTTGGTGTTTCCTTAGTGCTTGAAAGCTGGCATTAGCCACCTTGTTTTGGAGTTTGAGAGCAAATACTAGGCGGTGGTGCATGTAATTTATCTCTTAGATTTTTTTTTAACATAAAAGTGTGTTGCTTGTTCTTTAACCTCAGCTGAGACTTAAAAGCAAACCCCTATTTAATATTCCTTTTTATTTCTAAATAAATATTTTTCAAAGTACCAAAGTAATATTTATCATAGAAAATTTAAGTAGAACCTTGTTTTAAAAAAAAAACACAGAATTATAATCTCACCATCCAGAAATAAGTACTGTGAGTATTTTTTCAGCCATTTCTCTGTGGGATTTATATATGTAAGACCCATAATGATATTATACAGCTCTATTTTGTTCCTGTCTAGTCTTTATTTTTATTCTTGTGCATGGCCGGCCTGAAATATGTGTATGTCAATATCAATTCTGGTGCCCATAGACTATGCCCTGTCCCTCAGTTTGTTTACCGGCCTCTTGTCTTGTTTTTCAGTGGATGAATACATTGCCATTGCCAAAGAGAAGCATGGGTACAACATGGAACAGGTAATGGCATGGTTTTCTTTTGTTGTTAAAAATGGGGTTTATGTTGACCTGTTAATTTTTTTTGTTCTTTGTGTTGGGTAGCGTTGTTTCCTCATTGGCCTTGTTTTTGTAGTCACTAGCAGTGTTATACAAGGCTCTAGTCCCCTTCTTTACTGCTTGAGATGAGTGGTAGAAGACCCTTTGATTGGAAAAGCATGTATGTGTTCCTGCCAGTCTGCACTGTTTAGGGGAGCAGTGGCTCTTAGGTGCTGGATACTTGGGCATAACGCTTTCGTATTTGAATATGGGATTTGTTTATCATTCTTGTGGTTGTGTGATGGTTTTTTTAATGACTCATGGTGTCACACTCAAACCTGCTCAAACCTGTTTTAATATTAATTGCTTTGAATCACTTTCTGGTTGTAAAATTTGACTAAGGTTTTTTAAAAATTGTTTGGAGCCAATTAATGAGAAATCCACAAGATTAATTTTTCTCCCAAAGTGTGATGATATCTTATTTCACCCTTATTTCCAATTACGATTCTTTTAGGTAATCACATTAAGTTGGATTAGTGCTTTCCTTTGTACTGATCTAGATTTTACAGCCTGTAAATTACCAAAAGTTTTCATTTACCCTAATGCCTGAGGATACCACTGATTTTGGTTATATAGACTTGGACCCTTTCTTTTAGCCTTGGCCTTACTTTTAGTCATTCTACCCTGGTAGAACTGTCAGGAAAACCAATTACAATAAGGTAGTTTCAGAATCTTTCAAAGCAAGAAGTGTATGCTTCTCTTTCTCCAAACCCTACTTATGAACTTCACAAAGCTGCTCAGAAAATCATCGATTTTTTTCTGTTTAGAAAGTGTAATTATTATTGGGTGATTGCTGATTACACTTGTATGAATTTTTAAGGATTTTGGTCTTCAAAAGTATGATCATTTCCGCTTTAAAATGGACATACAGGGAGTTTTCTTTGGAAAGTATTCCTGAATTCTCTTGTTTCTAATTTGTTCCTTATCCATTTGTATTTTTTTCCTTTCTGAGCTGGAAAAAACTCTTTAGATTTGAAATTTTTTGGCAAAAGAATAACAAACAATTGTGTGCTTTTTGAGTTACTTTCTCCTTTATATCCAGTGGCTTTAGAGTGTGACCCTGTACGATCACAGATTCCAGAGTCCCACTGCTTCTGCTGTTTACTAGCTGTGACCATTGGCAAGTTACTGAATTTCTCAGGGCCTCCATATTCCAACTTGAGAATTGAGAATAATGGAACGAGTTAGTGTACAAAAGGGCACGGATCAGCGTCTGCCACTTAGCAGTGTATGTGGGTTCGCCATTTGTGAATTTGTCTGGGTATGAAGAAATGCTTGCTCTTCTTGTGCCAGCCTCATTTCCACTTTAATGTTTCAGTCATGTCAGTCATGTTGTTGGTCTAAAAATTTCACTGATACTATTTTTCTAGGCTCTTGGGATGCTCTTTTGGCATAAGCATAATATTGAAAAATCATTGGCTGATTTGCCCAACTTTACCCCCTTCCCAGATGAGTGGACTGTGGAAGATAAAGTCTTATTTGAGCAAGCCTTTAGTTTTCACGGGAAAACTTTTCATAGAATCCAACAAATGGTGAGTAGGTGAGACCATTCACCGTGTGCCCCCCCAACCCCCCCGGCCCTGAGGGGTAGGGCTGTCATCCTCGAGCACGAGTGTTCCCGTTTTTAATAAAGCAGCTCACTGCAAGCTACTGGGTGGGTGAGAGGCTTCACATTACAAGAGTGAGATATTCCCTAGCACCTCCCAGCTTGATAGCTGTACCTCAGCCCACCCCACCCCACCCCACCCCTCTTGTCGGGACGACCCTGAGTGTCCCTTTTTTTTTTGGCTGCATTGGGTCTTCATTGCTGCACGCGGGCTTTCTCTCTAGTTGCAGCGAGCAGGGGCTACTCTTCGTTGCAGTGTGAGGGCTTCTCATTTTGCAGTGGCTTCTCTTGTTGTAGAGCACGGGCTCTAGGTGCGCGGGCTTCAGTAGTTGCGGCGCGTGGGCTCAGTAGTTGCGGTGCACAGACTTAGTTGCTCCGTGGCATGTGGGATCTTCCTGGACCAGGGATTGAACCCATGTCCCCTGCATTGGCAGGTGGATTCTTAACCACTGTGCCACCAGGGAAGTCCCCCCAGAGTGTTCTGATAGAAAGGGTCTCTGATGGTGGATGAGGCCAAACGTCATGGGGCCCCTGTCTCCCTGGGGAGTTTTGCTGACCTGTCACTTCTAGAAAGGTATTTGGTGGACTCCTACTGTGAAAGCTTACTGACGGTTACATTAGTGCTCAAATGAATCTTTAAAAAAATAACCTAGAAGTTATGTTAGAAGCTGTAGTCGTGTGAAAACTCTGATTCATCTTAAGCTGACTGCAGTCTTTCATGGGCTAAGTTTCACTTACAGTCAAACTTCAGTAATTTGAAAATGTATCGATGAGAGTTCTTTTGTGAATTCAGAGAAAAATGGCTGTGACTTAGGACATTTCTGAATACATGAGAGTGATCCTTATGAAATATATCTACACACATTTGATTTTTAAAGATTAGCTTTAAATCTAAGCCAACTCATTTTTTGTATTTAGCTTCCTGATAAATCTATAGCAAGTCTGGTGAAATTTTACTACTCCTGGAAGAAGACGAGGACTAAAACCAGCGTGATGGATCGCCACGCTCGGAAACAGAAACGGGAGCGGGAGGAAAGGTCAGTACGCACGCGGGGTGGTGTCTCACCCCTTCGGAGATCTTTGCACCGGCATTTCTAAGAGCTGGTGGGTACACAAAGGGGTTCCCCCGGTTGCTTCCTGGTGGAACCAGAACATACACAAATATTCTTCAGCTCCATGCTCATGAGCTGTGTTAATGCATGAGTGCTACCTTCTAAAGGTGTCTTTTCTCACCACTCTGCAGTCAGCACACTTTGTTCTGAACGAGTGAACTTTCCAACACATTCCTTTGTGCCCCTTAAGGGTGTCTTCTTTTAGTAAAAAGCAATCTCTGACTTATGTTGAAATTCACTTGGTGTGCTTCTGCAGGATTCAGTTGACGTTTTTATGTCTGGGATGTTAGAATCTACAGTTCAGGTTTCCTTCTTCCTTTTTGTTACCAGCCGTTTTGCGTATGTGAGAGAGAGAGAGGGGACATTATGACTTCTTAATAAGGAGGTTAGTTTTAAGGACAGCTTCGTGCATAGGACGCACCTTAACCATCACGCCCTCAGCCTTACATACAGCAGAGTCAGGGAAGCGGCCTTTGCTCACCCACAGAAGTGGGTTCTGCTGTCAACTGAAGGGTCTGCTGATGGTCTCACAGGCAGGTTGGGTCAATGCCCTCCTTTCCAGGCCTCTGTTTCCTCAGCTCTAAAATGAAGATGCTTCAGGTCTAGAAGGCAGCGCACAAACATAGTGGGTTTTATGGTAGTGGGAATATAGGTGGCTTTTAAAAATTATATCTTCTATAATATATTATTTTTATAAATTAACAATACAAAATAAAATGAAGAAGTATGAACTATATGATCTCTGTGGCCCTGTCTTAGGAGAGTATCTTATGATTTCAAATGAAAGAGAATAACCTGTGGGGACAGATTGAGAATTATCACTTTTGGAGACACCTGCGAAGCTCTTTCCAGCCATAAGATTCTATAAAATTGTTGACCGTGACACATCTGCATATTTTTTTAGTTTGCGACATACATAACTAGTGGGTCTATTTATGGATCAGTACTCTGTGACCAAAGAAAAGTAGCAAACTCTACTGAATTTGTTTTTAGTGTTATAGCAATTTTTGATTAAAATTCCTTGTTTCCTTTATATGTTAGGTCTAGTTTACTGTTTATAAACTAAGTCTGTTACCACAAACAAGTGCGGTTTACTAAGCTGAAATCAGAATTAAATTAAAAAAAAAGAAGATTGGGATTTGTTATCCTTGAGGATGAAGCGATAAGAGCATTGTTCTAACTTTGCATCTGCGCAAGGGTGCTCCTACCTTCCCGGTGCACCTTCACACAGTCAGGATGCAAACAGAGGAGGGGCACCCTGGCCACGGCAGAAGCACCTGAGAGATTGTTGTCTTTCTAACGGGACCTACCTGTGAAAGGAACGGCAGGGCCTGGGAAAATTCCCTCCACCCCTGGCTCTTTCTCCTCTCAGACATGCTTTCCTCAGCCAGAACGTCTTACCACTGTGGGCCTTGGGCGTGGGTTGGGGGAGAAGGAGAGCACAGTGGGTGCGTCACCTGGGATGGGTTCCTGAGACAAAGTGGGTGTTGACATTTGAAACCCTGAGTGTTCTGCTGCCACCACTGCTCAGCTGGCTTTAGCTGCAGGCAGACTGGGGCAGGCTGCCTGGCTTCTGTGAGCCTTCGCTTTCACATTTTTTTTAAGCAAAAGGAGGTGGACTCTCAACCACTGCACCACCAGGGAAGCCCTTTGTTTTCTTTTTAAGTAAGAAATACTGCATGGAAGGATATAAACAAAAGCATGCACCATATCAATGCAAGCTTTCTTTTTTTTTTTTTTTCCTTTGGTGAGCGTTCTTTTTAAAATTAACTTAAAATACCAGTTATTCGAGCCACCAAAAAGCCTCTCCCATTCTCAGACTTGTGTACTTGTGAGTAGACAGGTGGGACTTGAACATGGATTTTTACTTGTTGGTGAATTTATTCCCAATACAATAGGCTTTATTCCTGAATAATTTCTCAGTTATATCTAATGATCATGTCCTGGTCCTCCATTAGCTACTTATGGAGAATTAAAGTAAATGTCTTAAATTTGACATTTTTAGTTGAGAGAAAACACTTTGCAAATAATAAAGCGACAATGTTTTAGGGCTGGTTTGGGAGTTAGAAACCCATTTTAATAGCTTTTTAAATCATTTAGACTAAAAGAGCTATGGAATTGGTATTTTATTTGAATTCTAAAAATGTACTTATCTCAGCATTCTGAAAACATATACTAATTTTGTATTACATCTGTCATTAAATCAGTATATTGCTTGTATTTGTGTATTAAATAGAATTAGTACAAAATAATCTTTCAGTAACTTGTTCTTGTCTTCCAGTGAGGATGAACTGGAAGAAACAAATGGAAATAACGCCATTGACATTGAGATTGATCCAAACAAGGAAAGCAAAAAGGAGGTATTTTTTTCCCCCAGTACTGTTAAGACAAATAAATTTCATTACTAGTTTCATAAGTAAAACATTCCTTTTTCTCATTCTACTTAATATATTAAGTGCTGTGTACAAGGCATCATGGTATGGCTTTTTAAACAATACTAACTTTGCTTTGTAGAACTTAGAATTTTGTTTGCTAAGAAATACGAGAAAGGAAGCCTTAAAGGAAAAAAATGGCATCAACGAGGAAAGTTTTTATGTACGGTAACAGTTCTCACTGCCTTCTTTCCTGGGCCCTTCGCTCAGCAGGTTACATAGGGGCCTTGTGAGGACCGGGCTCGAGCTCGGCCCCTCCTCTCGGCTCTGGTGGCCTCCTTCCTTCTGTATCTGCCCGGGGCCTGCACCCTCTGGGTCACGGTGAAGTTTTAATCTCTCACGTTTTAAAAATCATTACGCCAAAGGTTTATAGTCTCTGGATCCAAGAGGTCCACGAATCCCTACAATTATACATGACTTTTGCAGGGGTATATCTATAACCTTTACTTATTGTAAACTGTCCAGTGAGAACAGTGGGGTGTCTGGATGGTCTTAGCCTTTTGAAATGGGGGTTAGAGTCTTGCATTATTTTGCCCATTCATAAAAATTGAATAAAGCATATGTGGGGTCCCCGAGGGCCCTCCGGGGAGACCAGGGTTCTGTGGCCTAGTTGGGGACCCCCACGGTACAGAGCTGCCTGCAGCAGTTCCCTGATGGGTGCCACCACCACAGCTGAGGAAAGAGGGCCTCAGCCCTTTGGTGCCCATCAGCCCCTCATTCAGGGTGGAGTATGGAATCCCAGCATGGGCATGACTTTTACATGTGTTCACATAAGTGTTTTTCTAAAGACAGAGTCTGTAGTTTCAGTAAAGTCTGAAAAGGTTTTCTATCTCAAAAGGTACTAAAGTATGAGAAAAACGAAAGGGTTTAGACATACCTAAACTTTAAAATTACACCAATAATATATGATTTTATAGACATGTAGGAAATACAGCTAAACAAAAGGGAAAAATGAAAATGATTTATCATTTCATCACCCGTATCACTATTAACATTTTGGTGACTCTTTCCAGATGACCTCCTCTTATAAAATATATATGCCTATACATAATTCTGAATCTGTATGCTTAAAAAATATAAAATCGGATCTTAATACATAATTTTATAACCTTTTAAATTTACTCTGCCTTGAACATTTTTTAGAAATTGAAGTATAGCTGATTTACAGTGTTGTGTTAGTTTCTGGTGTATGACAGAGTGATTCAGTTTTATGTATATATTCTTCTCCATTATGCTTTATCACAGGATATTGAATATAGTTCCCTATATAGTGCTGTACCGTAGTGCTGTTCCGTAGGTATAGTGCTGTACCGTAGGACCTTGTTGTTTGTCCATTCTGTATATAATAGTTTGCATCTGCTAATCCCAAACTCCCAGTCCGTCCCTCCCCCAACCCCCTTCCCCCTGGCAACCACAAGTCTGATCTCTGTGTCTGAGTCTGTTTCTGTTTTGTAGATAAGTTCATTTGTGTTCTATTTTAGATTCCACATGTAAGCGGTATCATGTGGTATTTGTCGTTCTCTTTGTGATTTACTTCACTTAGTATGATAATCTCTAGGTCCATCCATGTAGCTGCAGATGGCATTATTTCATTCTTTTTTATGGCTGAGTAATATTCCATTGTGTACATGTACCACACCTTCTTTATCCATTCATCTGTCAATTGGACATTCAAGTTGTTTCCATGTCTTGGCTATTGTAAATAGTGCTGCTGTGAACATAGGGGTGCTGCCTGTATCTTTTTGAATTATAGTTTTGTCCAGATATATGCCCAGGAGTGGGATTGCTGGATCTTATGGCAACTCTGTTTTTAGTTTCTTGAGGAACGTCAATATTGAACCTTGAACATATTTTTATGTCAAACATATTTGTATGCATAGCTGTATGTTATTCCATCATTACAGATCTTTTATAATTGAGTTAATTAATCTTATATGGGTTTTTACAGTCTTTTTCCCTGTAAGTAATGCTGAAATGCGGATCTCATGACTACATATTTGTGCACTTAATTTTTTCCATTAGAATTAATTTCTGGAAGTTGAATTATTGCGTCAAAGTGTTCTAGATATATTCTTAAGGCTTCTTTTGGTATGGTATATATTATCAAATAGGAAACTGGTAATTCTTTCTGGATAGCACTCTTACCAGTGATTTATATGAGTGCCCAAATAACAAGATCATTTTAAGGATTAGCTAAATTACATTGCTTTTTGGGAAATCGGATTGTACTTGCAATTTTTAGTAAGCTTTGTTTTGATGCATTGTTATTTATTAGGTACTTCAGTGGAACATTTTAAATGAAAGAGGCTTGGTTTTATATTAATTTCTGTAATTGTTATTTATATAGCAGTTTATAATTTAAAAAGAAAAATGGTTAAATCTCAGTTTCTTTACCTACTAAAATGTTATTAAAACAGACACATGGTGGGAGGGAGGGAGACGCAAGAGGGAAGAGATATGGGAACATATGTATATATATAACTGATTCACTTTGTTGTAAAGCAGAAACTAACGCACCATTGTAAAGCAATTATACTCCAATAAAGATGTTAAAAAAAAAAACAGACATGTGGTCAATAGGTGATCTTTACTGAATAGCATAGTGCTATTGCAGAACATAGTTTACTGTCTATTTATATTTTTATGTGTTGTTTATTACCACTTGTTTGAGAGCTTATTGCTACCATCATGGTTTGCATTGCCTTTTTATCTCAGTCTTTTAAAATATGAAGCAGAAAGATGAATGTATTTTCAGCTTTACCGGCCAATGTTAATACACTGACAAGATGAAATTATAAACAGTTAACCAAAACTTGTTCTTAAAATGGTTGCCACTAGGATGTTATCCTTTCCTTGCCAAGATATTAGTGCATTTCATTCCCAAAGGTTTTGGTTTTAGAGAAAGCATTTAAAAAACTAAGCAGCAGTCATGCATTTTTAAATGATAGCATATAGTTTTTGAAGCAAGTTACACAGTTGCCCTAAAAGTTGTGTTATCCAAAAAAAGAAACCGAAAAGGTGTATAAACAAGTTTCATATTGAAGTTTTTATTTTTATAACCATCTATAAAGATTTAAAGAATTTAAGTGGATCCTTATACATGTGCTGAATCTTTTTTTTTTTTTTTCTTTCTGTGGCCGTATGTCCATCTACAGTTGCTAGGGACTCTTTGGATAAAATAACTCCTTATTCATAAATACAAAGCTCACCAGAAGGGAATACAGGTTATTTTTTCTTCCTGTGTTCCTGCAGGAAGCTGGGAATCCTTCTTGTCAGAGGTTTATGGAATAAGGATGTATCTGTATAGGAAGGAAATGGAGTCCACTTTGAAGTGTTTATTTAGCCAAAGTTCAATAGCCAGTGTTTTTGTCTGTTAACTATGTATTAGAACTTGTAGATGGTAATTATGAGATGGCGTGGTATTTGTCTTAGATTGTTTGGAGCCATGTTAAGAAAATATGCTAATTACTGTTCATTTGGCATTTTAGTTTTTTTAGTTTCTCATTTATCAAATATGTGTATCATGCAGGTGCCCCCTACTGAGACAGTTCCTCAGATCAAAAAAGAAAAACATAGTACACAGGCTAAAAATAGAGCAAAAAGGAAACCTCCGAAAGGAATGTTTCTTTCTCAAGAAGACGTGGAGGCTGTTTCTGCCAATGCCACTGCTGCTACCACGGTGCTGAGACAACTGGACATGGAGCTGGTGTCAATCAAACGACAGGTACCCGTGAGCCCAGTCCTGGGTGAAGAGTTAACTGCACTTTAGATGTGTTCTTACTTCTCACTCACTTGGATGTTCTCTTTCCCCAAATCTCAAAAGCGCATTTTGTTTCTAAGGAATTGGAGAGAAGATCTTAGGCCCGTTGATTTTTTTTTCCCTTAAATTAACCGTGAAGTTGAAATTTTATACAGATATTGATATAGATACAGATCTCAGTGACTTGTCATAATGTGAACACACCCAGGTAACCTCTGTCTGGATGAAGACTTGGAGCATCGCCTCCACAGCCCCTTTATCTACCCTTGAGAAATACATTGTTGCCTCAGAAGCCTCACTCATGCCCCCTGTTCATTACCCACCTTCTCCCGGTGGGTGGCCACTGTTCTGACTTAAAGCCATATGTTATTTTTATCTTTTTTTGGATTTTATATAAACAGAATGATAAAGTGGGTGTGTGTGTGTGTGTGTGTGTGTGTGTGTGTGTGTGTGTGTGTGTGTGTGTGTGTGTGTGTGTGTGTCTGGCTCTTACTCAGCATGTGAGATCTATCCAGGTAACAGCCATACTTCTTATTCTTTCTCATTGCTGTATAAATACCCAACAGATGATCCATTTTACTTTGAGTGGACATTTGGGTTGTTTCCCGTTTTTGATTCTTACACATGATACTGATAGGAACGTTGTTTTATGTGCCTCTGGGTGTGTTGTGGGTGCATCTTTGTTAGAGATAACACCTAAGAGTGCAGTTGTTGGGTTATCGAGTGTGCATATGACTGACCTTAGAAAACAATGCCAGACAGTTTCCCAAAGTGGTCATGTCACTTTACGTGAGTTTTGGTTGCACCACATCAGGATTTCCTAGTTGTAGCACTGTTGACATTTTGGGCTGGATAATTTCTTTGTTCTGGGGGTTGTTCTGCTCCTTGTAGGATGTTTAGCAGCATCTCTGGCCTCGACCCACTCACTGGATGCCAGTAGCGCCCTCCCCTCCACCATGCTGTGTGACCTCATTGTGGAGTTACGGGGGCGGTGGGGGAATGGTCTCCTGTTGCCCATTCTGAGGGCTTCTTTTTCACTCTCTTAGCGGTATCTATCTATCTATCTATCTATCATTTATTTATGGCTGTGTTGGGTCTTCGTTGCTGCACGTGGGCTTTCTCTAGTTGCGGCGAGCAGGGGCTACTCTTTGTTGCGGTGCGCGGGCTTCTCATTGCGGTGGCTTGTCTTTGTTGCAGAGCACGGGCTCTAGGCGCGCAGGCTCGGTAGTTGTGGCTCTAGAGCACAGGCTCAGTGGTTGTGGCGCATGGGCTTAGCTGCTTCGCGGCATGTGGGATCTTCCCGGACCAGGGCTCAAACCCTCGTCCCCTGCATTGGCAGGTGGATTCCTAACCACTGCACCACCAGGGAAGCCCTCTTAGTGGTGTCTTTTAATGAACAGAAATTCTTAGTTTTAAGGTAGTCCAGTTTCTCATTCTTGTCTTTTACGGTTAGTGATTTTTGAGTTCTGTTAAGAACCTTTCCTGAGGTCATGGATATACTCTTACACACTATCTTAAAAGTGTTGTTTTGCCTTTTACATTTTGATCTTCAGTCTACCTGGCAGTGTTTTTGTTTGTATGTTGTTACATGTAGGGTCAATTTTTTTTTTTTTTTCATACGGATATCTAGTTTACCCAGTACTATTAATTAAAAAAGACTACCCTTTCCCTGTTGTAAGGCTGTGGGACCTTTGTCTTAAATCCGGTGTCCATTATGTGTATCGGTCAGGTTTGGAGTTCTGTTTGTCCATTCGTAACCAGTACTATATGGTCTTAATAATACATAATCATGAATGGATATGTGTGGTAGGAGAAGTCCTCCAAGATGGCTGTTCCTGGCCCTTGTATTTCCATATAAAGTTTAGAATCACCTTCTCAATTTCCAGAATAGTAATTCTGCTAGAATTTTGATTGGGGTTGTGTTGAATGTATAGATCAATATAGAGAATTAACATCTTATGATCCATGAACATGATATATCCCTGCACTTCAATAGATGTTTAGTTTCTTCCAGTATTTTGTCATTCTCTATGAACAAGTCTTGTATTTCCTTTATTAGTGTTATTCCTACATGTTTGGTACATTTCTGGTGCTCTTGTAAAGAATATTGGTTTTTTTGTTTGTTTTTCTGGGGTTTTTTTGTGGTACGCGGGCCTCTCACTGTTGTGGCCCCTCCCGTTGCGGAGCACGGGCTCCGGACGCACAGGCTCAACGGCCATGGCTCACGGGCCTAGCCGCTCCGCGGCATGTGGGATCTTCCCGGACCGGGGCACGAACCCGCGTCCCCTGCATCGGCAGGCAGACTCTCAACCACTGCGCCACCAGGGAAGCCCCAAGAATATTGTTTTTAAAACGCATCCTTTCCTGATCATTCGTGCTTCGTGTGAGAAATGGCTCCTCCTTGTCTTTTCGTCTGATTTTGTGTAAAAGTCAAACCCAAAAGTTAGCCGAGCAGCCCAGTGCTGCCCTTCCGTTAGTCACCTCCCCCCGACCCCAAATGCAAGATGAATTATGGACTGGTGGTTCACTTTTAGTTCGTGCTGCCTTTGATTTGTCAATCTTGATGGCTGCCTTGGCAGGGCTGAGAAGAGAAGGGTGGGGTCTGTGGCCCCGGCTGTCCCCTGGTGAAGGAGGCCGCACAGACCAGGACCCGGCGTGCCCCTCGGAGTTGTGGGCTTGCGGCTGCCACAGCTGCATTCTAATCTTAGGAGAATCACTTAATCTTCCTGGGCCTCTTTTTTCAAATGAGATTAATCCTTGCCTGCCTGATCTTACAGGATGTGTGAGGGCGTCGTAGTAAGCTGCATCTGCGCTGGGAGAGTTCTGTGACTGGGGCTGGGATCTCCTCTGTGCATTTTACCTTTCTCTCCAAGGGGCCTCAATCCCCTCTGCTGAGTGAGTTCCTGACGCTTGCTGTTCGGTGTCAATATTTCGAAGAAGGAAAGAGACCCTTCCTTCTACAGAGGTGTTACTGACTTTGTAGTGTGATAGATAAAGAGGCTTTGGTTTTCAGAGCCAGGGTCAAGAGCAGGAATTTTTTATTTGAAGGTAGCTGCTCAGAGCTGACATTGTTGGAGAGAAGGCTCAGAGGCTGACTTACTAAGAGGTGAGGTCAGTTGTTTACTTTCCACAGCCTTTAGGGCTTCTGCCAGCTGCACTTCAGGTGCACGTGGCGGTCAGTCACACAGTGGGCATGTTATTCTGGATGCCCCCATGTCTGGTTGTATGCCAGGGAAACAGTCATCCGATGAGGACAGGAAACCTGACTAACAGCAGCTCAGACAGAGAAGGGTTTATTTTTATCAAATAACAAGAAATTCCAACATCAGTGATTGCTGGCGTTAGTTCCTCTGCTCAGTGATGCTCGCGGGGACCCAGATTCTTTCAGATTCTCCTGCTCCACCATTCTTAGCTTTTAGGCTTTTCATCTTGCTCGTTGCCTCACACTGGAAGCTGCAGAAGCCATTTTGTCACCTTCGTGTCTGCATTCAGGGCAGTAAGAAGAGGAGGTGGAGGAAAAGCTTTTGCCTTCCCAGAACCTCCTGGACTTTGTGTGGCAGGGCTTTGCAGCCCGGCTCCTCCTAGCGCTGAGGAAGTCGTAAGCCGCTGTCAAAGATACAAGTGAGAAGGGGGCTGGGAATGGCCGTCAGGTTAGCCAGCAGACACTGCTGGTTGCATCAGGTCTTCCTGGGTGGAGAGAATGAAATGGTCTGACCTTAGAGAAGAATCACTAAATACCCAATAAAATAGGAAAAAGAAAGTTGTGTTCAGCCAGGAGCTCTAGGTAAGGCACCAGGCCAAGTCAACTACTTTTTTTGTTTTTTCTTTAAATGCTGGTTACTTTTTGTATCCTGTTTCTTATCCAGCTTGTTGCCACTCTGGCTTCCTTTCCGATTGGCATGATGCTGGCAACTAATCCCTATTCTTATTCTGATTAGTAAACATTGGACATTTGCTAATTTGGAAAATGATTAGGAGCAGACACATAGGTAAATGAAAATATAGAGCTAACTTTTAGTTCAGGATTTGTGGATGTTTTACCTTGTAGCCACTCATTTAATCTCGATGCTTCTTTATCCACTGATTTTAGAGGGAAAATGCATGTGTTAAACAGGTTGGAAAATGCCTGTTACTTAATCACAATGCGATACACACGCGCACACACACACACACACACACACACACACACACACACACACACACGGGCGCGCGCGCCCAGCTTTGTAACATATATATATATATAGCTAGAAGGAATAAAGTAACTGGAATGCCAGGGGAGAGGGGATGGGGTGGGGGGGACATGAAATTGAATATATGTTCTAGTGGACATACCCCTGACTTTTTTGTGTGTGTGTTCTAATAAAACTTTATTTATAAAAGTAGCCAGTAGGCTGGATTTGGTATGTAGGTCATAGTTTCCCAACCCCTGCTATAAATGAAACAAGGTTTACCATGAATAATAATTATGAAGCTCAGTTATGTCTAGACCCCTGACTTTTGAGAATTTGCTCATTCCCTGTCAGAAGTTTCTAGGCCTAGTTTTCAGAATTCAGGGAGCATAATCCGAGTGCCTTGCAGTATTTTGTGGGTATTTTGTGGGTTGTTGGTAACTGTGAGCTCTGAGAAGAGTCTAAGATTGTGCTGTTCAGTGTGGTAGCCACGTGTGGTCTTTAGATTTTAGTTCGGATTAATTAAAATTGGAAAAATTAAAAATGTGACTCCTCAGTTGGATAAGCCACTTTTCAGGTGCTTAGTAGCAGCGTGTGGCAGGTGGCCGCCATGTCAGGCAGCCCAAGTTTAGAATATTTTCATTATCAGAGAGAGTTCTGTCAGCTTATGCTGGTCTGAGAGCTTAGAATTACTTACTGTGAGTAAATTTCAAGTATTTTCTTCTGATTTGTACCTTTTCAAAATAAACTAAAACAGATTTCAGTAAAGCAAGGTTCTGGTTTTTGGTTTTACTGTAGAGTGAATTTTGTGCATGTTTCCAGTATTTTTCTTTTCAGTTGTTTTTATGTTCTGATGTGGCACCCTTACACAAGATTTGGAGTAGACTGTATTTCTGGCAGACTTTGAGGCCCTTGGTAAGGGCAGACAGGGTCAGTTTCTGGTCCTTAAAAGTCCCAGTCTTATTTACTTGCCCACTGGTCCCATAGCATAGAAAATTTTCCCTGTACCACCCCCCCTGACCCCTTAAACCTTTTAGAAGAAGTAAAACAAAGGAGGAAAGGATCTGTGAAACTGGAAATCTATGAAATGTAAGTCGTCGAAAGTGGGGTTTTAAAAACTTGTATAAGTATAAAAAGTTTTTTTTGAAGAAGAGAGAGATCTACTAAAAAGTGAACTACCATCTCCACTCGTCTTCCACCCTTTCCCTATCTCTAAAATTTCTGCTTTTCTTCCTTTGCCTTAATAGGATTTCTGCTTTCAAGGGCACCTTCTGCTCATGAATATTTTTGATGTTTTACTTGGGAAAATGAACCTGTTCCTCTGCTTGCTTTCTTATTTGCTCAAGTGATTATTCAAGAATGAAAAATGATAGGGCCAGAGTTCCCCTAGTGCTAGGCACAGAAATGTCCCTCTGCTTAGAGTTGAGAGAGAAGGGCCCCCTCCTGTGACCCAGCTTGTTCAGGAGCGAGTGCAGAATTAAAGAGCAGCTGTGGAGTGATTGAGCGGTTTGTATTTATTGTTTGTGTCTTTCTTTTGATTAGGCAAGGACAGTGAAAGGTCCACTGAATCAAAGCAAGAATGTGGGAAAGGTAATTTGTGAGAAAATGAAGTTACTGTTGCTCAGAATTAGACTTGTGGAAACCCGACACGCTGCTTTCTTTTCTCCTCCCCGTAAAGAAGTCTGCAGGTGGGGCTTCTGCCCTTTGTAGCGTCCGTGCGGTGCTCGGGGCTGTGAGGCTCTCCTGCCTTCACTCTGCCTGCTCTCTTTCCTCAGCTCAGCTCTGCGTGGTGGGAGCCCAGGCGTTGTCTTCTGTGTCAGACTGCAGTTGTGCATTCTGTGGCCCAGGTCGCCTGTTCCAAGCTGGTGGATTAAGATTGTGTGCGCAGGCACCTTTTTACCACCATCCCTTCCGTCTTGGTTGTCTCTTGTCCGGTGCCCTAAGCAAGTCAATTAAAGAACTTAGTTAGCTGCTCTCAAAGGATACTATAGGGACCTCAAATTTGGCTACCTTACAGGTTAGGAACTTCTTTCCTTTTGGTTTTTTGTTTCTTTTAGCTTTCTCAGTTCTCTTTTCTTTTCATACCTTTATAAAAGTGGTTCATTTTAAAAATGAAAATCCTCTTTCC